CCTAACTTCAAATGTCCTGTCCTGTCTTACAATTATGAGTATCCCTTTCCTACTCACTTTATTACATTTTTATTTCCTTTAGAGTTTAGACTTGCTTCCTTATCTTTACATATTTTAAAATTTCTGGGGCATTGCATTCAATATATGTCACATTAAGTTGAGAAGTTGGAACCACGGCCTCTTAGTGGGCATAAATAAAGATAAACCCTGTGGTAAAGAAGTAGACAAACAGAGATAGAGAAATAGATTTTGGTAGAGAGAGTGTGAGGGAGAGCAAATGAGAGAGAGAGTGCACGTGCACACAAATGAGGTGGAGAGCAGATAAACTGCACATTTATTTGATCAGATAAATATGAAAACATTGATGCAATTTTGTAGATACCGGAGAGCTAATTTTATGAGAGTTTAAATGTTTGGATTACGTACTGTGTAACAATATTCTGCTTTGTGCGATGTATGTGAGTTGTTTGCTATGCTTTTTACTAAGATTCCTTCAATTGTGCCAAATATTCTGTGAACAAAGGGGCTTTGGATCACTCCTTTAATAAAGGCAGGGAAGTCATTACTTACAAGTAACTCTTCAAAACCCAGCTTTCAGCCCACACGGTGTCTCCCTGTGCTGCTTGCTGTGGACCTCTGTCCTCGCCTCGGCCTGAGATGGACCCATCTGCTCCTGCTCCAGCAGTGGTTCCTGCACCTGCCTTGGCTCCTGTACCTGTCCCACCCCTGTACCTGCCCTGCTTCTGTACCTACACCTGCCCGACTCTTGCACCTGCCCCACTCCTGCAAATGCAAAGTGCCAATGCACCTCCCCCAAGAAGAGCCATGGTCCTGCTGCCAGTGGGCAGAACCAAGTGTGTCCAGGGCTGCATCCACAGGAAGGCATGGGATGAGGGCAGCTGCTGTGCCTGATGGAGGAGAGCCTGTTCCAGATATAAACAGAGCAACATGTACAAACCTATAGTTTTAAAAAATTCATTCTTATTGCCCTGTTTGCTAAGTTTCTATGAAATACCTGACTTATAATAAAAGTTGTTGACTTAAACAAATAATAGTAAGTCTTCAGTAATGTCAAGTGCAGCATTTATAATTGCTTTTCTGTATGGTTGAGAACTTTAACCTTCGATTAACTGCTTGGCTGGCCCAAGCCTGGAGTCCTCTGGGGTTAAACCATCTTCTAGACTGATCAATTAACATTTTTAAAATATTTATTTATTTGAAAGAGAGAGATCACAAGCAGAGGGAGGGGCTCAGGGAGAGGGAGAAGCAAACTCCCTGCAGAGCAGAGAGCCCAATGAGGGGCTGGATTCCATGACCCTGAGTTCATGATCTGAGCCAAAGGCAGACGCTTAGCCCACTGAGGCACCCAGGCACCCCTTAACATTCATACATAATTAAAGCAAAGGACACAGGGGACTATCAGGAGGAACAAAGAGCCAAGAGATGAGTCCTGGTAGGTTTTCCTCAGAAATGTCACTCTTGTCCACTTCTAGAACCCCCTGCACACTGCAATCTGCTTCCCTAGTAAGTCATGCCTGAGTTATTAAAATGGACCTCCAAGTAATTCTCACACCTTCCAGCTCAGTTCTCCAACCCCCCCTCTGAATTAACCCCACTAAAACATCCCTCTCTTCCCATCCTTAGAAGCCTCAGTGAAACCTATGACCTAGATGCCACACACCAGATCTGTCTCCTCGATTCCCCCTGCCACTGTCCTCAAAATTTTCCATCTCTTTTCTCTTTTTCTGATACCTCCTCTCAGTCACTCAACTGACAGCTTTTCTGTTCCAAGAATTCCTTCCCATGTCTGTGTTTCCTGCCCTTCCCAGAAACCACATTTCTCTCCAGGGTCTCAGTGGTGATCCCTCCATTCCCTTACATTCAGCTCAGGTTCCCTGCCCCTGACTCATGCTTCTCTGCGGTCTGAACTCCTGTGCCACCAAAGTCAGATGACCTCACAAACCTTTCAATACCTTTTCCACATGCATGTCCTGTCCCCAGACCATGGCCTGTGACAGTGCTATGTGTGTTTTTCCCAACACGTACAGCACTGATAAGGTAGTCATTCATTCATTCACTCACCGCTGTATCTCACATGTGTTTATAAAGTGCCTACTTTAGCCCAAAGAGATGCTCAGTGAGGAACTGAGTAAAAATATAAGGATGGGGGCAGAGAAAATTATGAAACTACTGTGGTCAGTGACTGTTGACTGTACCTAATTGCCATGTGCTCACTGCCGAATTTGGTGAGACATGGGTGGTGAAAGTGTTAACCAAGCATTACCTCTGTCACTTCAGGACTTTTCATTTAATGCTGTCAGCTAAGATAGCCACTTATGAAACACTGAGAATAAAAGTAAAGGCCGAATCTGAAGTACATTAGGATAGACCCTGTGGGTAGAGAGGTAAAGAAAGAGAAAGAAAAACCAGTGAAGAACTGACAGGTAAAGAAAGAGAGAAAACCCAGTGAGGAGAAAAACAAACAAACAAAAACAATGAAGAACTAAGAAGTAAAGAAAGAGAAAAACCAGTGACGAAACCAGGCTGAGTTCCTTACAGGTCTTGTCTTGACCTTTAATTTTGATTTGAATATGAAGGCTAGTATTATACTGTAAGAATGGGTGACAAAGAATATGAGCCAGGAGTAAAAGAACCGGGAGTCGGCTGGAGGCCGAGGGAGGACCAGGATGTGTGGCAGAGGAGGTGACAGTTTGTTTTAGGAGGTGACGATGGAAAAACGTGTATGGAGCTCCTGGCAAGGAACCTGCCCCAAATAGGTGATCATAAATCCTAGTTTCCCCCACCATCCTCTCACCTACAGTGCTTAGGAAGTTAATGATGTGGTCCCTCCAGCCATGGAATGATTCTTACTCATTTTCTGAGATGATTCAGATGATTAATCCAATAATGTTTCTATGATTGTCATGCTTATTCCTTGCCTAACATTCTCATAAATACTACATATGTTCTTAATAAGACATGAGCAGTCTTACCTCCAAACTGTATCAAGAAATCCAACTGACATAACTATATGTGAATATCTGCATTGTACCATCCACATCTATATCTGTAACATTAGCTATGTATCCATCAACATATATATATTTTTTGACACGTTTATTTTCTCTTTCTCCATATCTTGGTCTCTGGGTGTCTATTTAAATTCACTCCATATGGGGAGTGATGGACAGTGAGAATCCCCGAGTGGACTTATCTATTCTTGCAACTCCCTGCGACTCTCCTGTTTCCTTCTTTTCCATAATTGTGTAAAAACACACTTGTGGTTTCTTTGGTCCATGATACTCTAGCTTCTCATGGTCGCGCTACACACCCTATGTCTGGGAAGGAACTCTCCTTCCAGGGACTTCCATGTTCCTCTGTCCTCATGTGCAGTGCTAAACACATTTTCATCTCTAGGGCCCAGTGCCCTTCATTTCTTGCTGTTTGGTAAGATGCTGTTTGCCTACTTTTAATTCCAAGTGAACATCCTCTAAAGCCCTTTCTGATGTCTCTAGTATTTTCCTGTAATAATAAGGGTCATTGGTATTATGGGTATGTGCGATGGGTATGTGTTAAGGGCTCTCAGGTCCTGGTCACCACGTACTTCTGAATGCTGCCTTAGCTGCTGCCTTGTGCGTTTGCTGTTACAATTCAAGGGGAGTGCCACGAGATGTTCCGTGGACCACCCAGCTGCCCTGCATTCTCCCCTGCTCCCGTGGGCAGCAGCAGCTTCTTGCCATCCTGGTGATTGTGATCAATTAGACCTGTCAACTTGGTCTGTTGGCCTTCCCACCTAGATCTCAGTTCAGGGAGGTAGAAGTGAACTGGTGAGGCTGAAGCTTAAATTGCAGTCAGATTCTTCCCCAATATCCCCAAGAGAATGGGCTTCATTCTGCGGGAACCAGAGCCTGTGTTTCCAGAGGGCCTGTGACTGCCTTGTGCTGCTCTCTCTATAGCTCTGTGTGTGTGTGTGTGTGTGTGTGTGTGTGTGTGTGTGTGTGTGTGTGTATTGGAGCGAGGGGCAAGATGGACTACTCTGTCCTTTACTTTGTTGAGCATGCTCCTCCATGCCCAAATATTGGGCATCTAAAACCCAATGGTGGGCTCCTGAATCTCCAGAGGTTTTCCCTCACACTGTGGCCTCTGGCATATTTACCATTTCTCTGTTCTAAATAGTAGAATGCCATCAATAAAGCAGAACAATTGATGTTCTGTGGCTGGTCTTCATGGCGTAAGGTTCTTTGGGACCATATTTTAACTGAAGGGCAAATCCACAAATGTGTAGTGCTGTCCACATATGGAAGAGAACTCTTTCCATCTTTCCTTAAGAAAGATGGGAAAGAACACACTTGCCAGGCCAATGGCTGCACACCAGGTACCTTAATGTGTCTTTGGGACACCGTGGCAGTTACTCATGTGCTGATTTCTGCAGCTCTCTAAGTTTTCTTTTTTATTTTTTCTGCAGAGTAATTACTAAGCTTTCTTTTTAACCTTGTTATATATAGGAACATTTTTATAAACGTTCTAATATTTTTCTCCAGTGCTTCCATGTGTTGATAGCAGGTTAGGGCTTAGTTGACCATGTTGCTAAAACCAGAACAGCGAATATTTTTCACAGAATTTCGCTATGAGGACAAAGTAAAATCCAGCAGTTGCATAGGGTCACCCAGAGTGAATAGAGTATGTGTGCCCTTGCGCGCGCGTGTGTGTGTGTGACCCGCAATAGAAATGGGAAAGTGTTGTATTTTATCGTCTTCAAGCAGAATGTTATTAGAAGGGAAGAGGTTGAAAGTTCAGAACACAGTCGATGCCTAATTGAAAAAGGCTCTGGAAATGGGAATGATGGCCCTGAAAGGACTTCGGTGGGTTCAGAGATGAGAAATAGAAACATATGAAAATGTTTAGCAACACTTTTGCTCAGCTTATGTTGACCATTGTCCTATAGACTTGTGATATTAAAATACCGAGTTACTTTTTTTTTCCATTTTGTTTTGTATTAGGTATTGCTTTGAAATAAGTGGGGAAGTAGAATTTCAAAAACCTTTTAATTGGTAAGAAATTATATTCCACTAATATTCATGTTTAATGTCAGTTTTTTTTTTCTGGGGAAGGACTTTTCTATCTCTTAAGGATCATGTATGAAATTAAAAAAATTGTATTTTATTGTCATTGTTTAGAGAATCAGTTTATCTAGATAAGCTCCAATGATTTTCTTACTAGTAAAACAGCCTTGGGGCTGATGTGAAATTAATATATTCAATTAGTCCCTTTTTTTTGTCATAAAATCATGTGGTTCATTTGCTAACAAAAATACATGGTTATATGGGAGATTTTTTTTCCCTATAAAACATTTTAAGGGAATACAAAAATTTTAGAATATATATATCAATTTATTAGTAAGCTCCTAACCTTAATTTAATAAATTGGATAATTGAGTGGGGTGAAGGGGTGACATGATAAACAAAATCTTATAGAAAGGAATCTGCTAGGGATCCCTGGGTGGTGCAGCGGTTTAGCGCCTGCCTTTTGCCCAGGGCGCGATCCTGGAGACCCGGGATCGAGTCCCACGTCAGGTTCCCGGTGCATGGAGCCTGTTTCTCCCTCTTCCTATGTCTCTGCCTCTCTCTCTCTCTGTGTGTGTGACTATCATAAATAAAATTTTAAAAAAAGAAAGAAAGGAATCTGCTAGATTATTTTTATTTCAGAATGCTACTTTTCTGCTTGCCAGTGAAATATGAGTGCCTGTTCAACCTATCTATTTTGGTAAAACAGTAATTTTTCTTATGGCTTAAGGGAAGTTCAGATTTTCTATATCATCAAAATTAAATTCAAGGAACATTTATTTAAAACCTTACAGAGCCTGGTACTATGAGAATATCAAAGTAAAGTAAGCCCAGTGTCTACTTCCAAGGAGATCATGGTCTGTAAGAGAAGAAACATACCAATACTCTGATGCAATTATGGATCAGTAAAAATATATGTAGGTGTATGGGGTGATTCTTGGATTAATTGTGAATTATGAGGCTTCTAGGAGACTTCTACAAAGAGGTTATATCTGAGCTCGGGTTTATTTTTTATTTATTTATTTTTAAAGATTTTATTTACTTATTCATGAGAGACACACAGAGAGAGGCAGAGACATAGGAAGAAGCAGGCACCTGGTGGGGAGCTGGATGCGGAACTCGATCCTGGGACTCCAGGATCACACCTTGAGCCAAAGGCTCAACCACTGAGCCACCCAGGTGCCCCTGAGCTCGGGTTTCAACAGTTAATTGGTAAAGATATTAATATAAAAATATAAACTTAGGAAAATCAGTGTTTTAGATAGTTGATGAAGTGCATCCAGTTTTTAAGATGTAGCTTATTTAAGATATATATATATATAATATATATATATATATATATATATTATATATATATATATAGAGAGAGAGAGAGAGATACACACACACAATGCTGAGCAATGCTGGTCTTTACACAGAGCATGCCCTAAGCAACCTGATGGGATTACGAAGTGTTTTAAAACTTGTGTTGCCTTTCCACCCTTAGAAGTACTAGAGGAAATGTCTTTCTTTTTCCGTGCAGGAGCCCTGTCCTGGTTTTTCAGTGCAACCACCGCCATGTGATTTGCTTAGACTGTTTCTACTTGTACTGTGTGACAAGACTAAATGACAGACAGTTTATCTATGACCCTCAGCTTGGCTACTCTCTGCCTTGTGTGGGTAAGTCTGGCACTTTTTTTTTCCCTCCATTTTTAATGCTGATTAAGAACAGAACTATTGATGCAAAACCTTCTTACATAAATTCAATCCCTGACTGAGGGGTTGAAAATTCAAGTATCTATTTGATCCCTGTTGAGCCAGAAACAGTGTTTGGATGGCAAAAATATAAAGCACTAAGGTGTGAAGGAATTAGGTTGAACTAGAAAATATATCACCTGCACAAAAGTATGGAAAACAAATTTTAAAATATTATTCAGCCAATGTACACAAAGTAGGTCTATGGATTCACCCTGGATCTAGAGAAGCACTATCCAGATTTCTAAGTTGCATTCCCTTATTGCTAAAAATTTTGAACACGTGTATGTATATATGAAAGACTGTATATTTAAGAAAAAATTATAAAGGAGGAGATAAAGCTGAAATATTTAATATTTTAAGTCTTTTTATCTTTCAATATTGCAGAACATTCTTTACTTGTATTATATTGCTATTGTTACATGTGTTTTTTTTAATTGAGGTGAAATTCATGTAACATACAACTAGCCACTTTAAAGTGTACAGTTCAATGAAATTTCATGTTTTCACAATGTTATGCAATGACCATCACCTCTGTCTATTTTTGGAACTTTTTCATTACCCTAGAAAAATTTCAGTATCTCATATTCATTAATAATCACTCCCAATTTCCCCTTCCCCCCATTTCCTGGCAACCACTACAGGTCTGCCTCTATAGATCTGCCAATTCTAGATACTTCATAGAAAAGGAATCATATAATATGCAACCTTTTGTGTCCTCCTTGTTTCACTTAACATAATGTTTTGGAAGTTGGTCCAAGTCATGGCCTGTATCTTCATGCCTTTTTATCACTAAATAATATTCCATTATATAGACATACTACAATCTGCTTATTCATTTATTTGTTGATGGGCATTTGTGTTATTTCCACCTTTTGGCTATTATGAATAATGCTGCTATAAACATTTGTGTACTTGTTTCTGTGGATACATAAGTTTTCATTTGCCTTAGATATGCACATAGGAGTGCAATTGCTGGGTCATATGATAATTCTATGTTTAACCTTTCACGGAACTACCAAACTGTTTTCCATAGCTGCTGCACCATTTGCATTACTATCAGTAACTTTTAAGGGTTTTTATTTCTCTAGATCCTCTCAACACTTGATATTTTCCTGTTTTGTTCTGTTTTGTTTTTAATATCCACCCTGTTAAGATTGAAGTGGTATCCCAATGTGGTTTTGATTTTCATTTCCTTAATGACAAATGAAGTTGAATATTTTCCCAAATGCTTATTTGCCATTTGTGTATCTGGAGAAATTCCTCTTCAGGTCCTTTGCTTGTTTTTAACTGGGCTGTATGTCTTGTTGTTGATGAGTTTTAAGAGTTCTTTGTGTATTCTGGATACTAGACACTTATCAGATATATGATTTGTAAACACTTTTCCTATTCCGTAGGTTGTGTTTTTTTTTTTACTTTCATGATAATATCCTTTAACACACAAAAAGTTTTAATTTTGATGATACCAATTTGTCTATTTTTTTCTTTTGTTGCTTATGTTTTTGGTATCAAAAATAAGAATGTGTTGCCAAATCCAAGGTCATGAAGAATTAACCCCATGTTTTCCTCTAGTAGCCTAGCTTGTATGCTTCGGTCATTAACACATTTTGAATTATTTTTAAAATATGGAGTGAGATAGGGATCCCTACCTCATTATAAATATATATATTTAATGAATGTAATGTGAGTAAATATGCTTCACTGTGAAAATTGTGGTTTGAAATTATGTGATTCCTTGATTCAATGGTCAGATTTTAAGCTTACTTATTTATAATACTTCAATACTTATTTATAATACTTATTTGTAATACTTAATGTTGATCAAAACTGAAAAATATACCTCAAAATTATTTCACATTTCCAAATGGAAGAAGCTAATTGCATTGTTGACTTTGTAAATTATGACATTCATTTTTGAATTGCATCTGCCAATAATGCAATGGTTTTAATTAAGATTCATACATGTGTCAATATATTGTTAAGTAAAATTCACTGGAAGGTATTGTGCTTTCATATTTTAACAAAAGCATTCAAAATTTAATGAAACATTTACTTGCAGATCGAAAGATTCTGTTTTTCATGTGATAACTATATTGACAAAAACTTTTTTCCCAAAACCATATAGCATGTAAACATTTCTAACTATCCCTTTTCTTCTCTTCATACTCAAGGCTCTTTTAGAAATCAATTTACTTCTCATTTATTTTTAAATTTTAAGCCTTTTGTATTCTAGGAAATTTCAAATGTACAAAGTAAAGTAATAATAATAATAATAATAATAATACAATGACTGCCCTTGTACACATTAGCCAGGATTTCTACTATAACAAGTTGTTTCAGGTTTCTCTTGTAATTCTTGCTACCTTTCATTTTTAGTTTGGAATCCTTTTAAATACTTTTTGTGACTCGTACCTACTTCATTGCTGGTTATTTGAACATAATCCTCCGTAAAACCTTGCTTTAGTTTTTTAGAATGCCACTTACTACCAAGAACTTATCTTCTCTGACACCTCCTTCTTTTAATGCTTAACCATGGAAGGTGAAAGCTGCATATTTGTGTATCTTGTTATTAAAAGAAAATGGATCTGGAATAGAGTAACGTGTTGTAGCAGATCCTGATGACTAAAAGTTTTCAAAAATATTTAAAGATATTTAGAATATGAATCTGTTGGTAAAGAAATATTTATAAAAGCTGATACATAGGCCTGCACTAATCTCCACACATTAGGAATATTGACTGCTCCTCTTTGTTATGGAAACGCTGCAGGGAGAGTGCCCTGTGTGGTGTGTATTTAAAAGCTCAGTTCACAAAGTTACCATGCTCCATCCCCTTCATGGTGAACTGAATGAACTGGCCTGGCCACCACTGTGGTCATGTGCCGCAGGTTGAATTAAATGATACCACCTTTTAATTGTGTGTGTGTGTGTGTGTGTGTGCGCGCGCCTGTTATGTCTGTGTGTATGATAGCTGAAATTGACATAGTTTTATGTAAAGTTTTTCTACTCTTTGATTTTTTTAAAACTTTGGAAACCAGGAAAAAAGTAGGTAGCAAATAACCACAAGCTGAGACAAGTTAAAAATAACCTACTGACTTTCAACTGTGTAGTAAAACTTTCTACTCTATGCTGTATAATTCATTTCAATACTTGTTTCTCTTTATCTTCAACAGTGTTTTAATATATATCTTCAAAAGTTCTTAGAACAAAATACAATTCAGTTTGTCACAATATTGTCATGTATTATTTAGCCTTTCTTTAACTGTGACTCAAATTAGAAATGTTCCTCATCTTATATGAAAGGCTTTCAAATGTTATTATAGAATTTTTTTTATTTTAAAGAGACGAACTGGATTGTCTTGAATCCTTTCTCAACAAAGACTCTCTATGATTCTGCGTTTTAGGACTCCCACTGTCCCCTCAAGACTCCCCCTTTGCAATTCATTTCATAATGTATCCGATATGCACAACAGGGTATAAGTTCCAGCATCAGCTTGTACATTAAGTGTTAGGGAAGACTAATTTTTCATATTTTAAATGATACCTATATAAACCCTAATATTACCCCCCCCAATAAGCCGATGAATAATTTTGCACATATCCTGGGGTATACACAATCAGAGAAGTCAAATTCAAATCCTGGCTCTGAGACTCACCCTGCTTGTAATGTAGGGCAAATTACTTACTCTTCATGTGTCTGGGTTTCACTTTAAGGTAAAATAGAGACATTGAAATAGCACCTATTTCATATATTGTTATGTGAATGAATTTAAAAAATGCCATATGAAGTGCCTTTGCATTAAATGCTTAAGTCAGTAAGCACATAGTGAACACTGGTTTTTGTTATTTTGGTTGCTTTGTAAGCATGTGTCCCTACAGACAGTATATGCAATTTTTTTGTGTCTGTATGTGAACAGTCATAAAATAACATATTCTCATTCTTTAATTGTAGGTTGGTATTTCCTATAATTCAATACATGTATCAACCATTTACCAAGCATTTTTCCCTTATCCGTATATCTGGTTTATTTGACTTTACCTTGATTCATGGAGCTTGGAACAAGACACCTAAAATAAACTAGGAAAAAAAAAAAACAGAAATAGAAAATCAAGGCTTTTCAAACTATCGATAAAAATAGGAGATTATCAGGAACAAGAATTTATTGAACTCATATACTATTTCCATGGCACAGCCTTCTTTCATGGTGGGGTTAATTAAAAGGTTGTATCAATGGGAAAAAATTTTATATCGATATCTATAAATCTTATTTATAAAACTTAATACTGTGTATGAAAAGCAAAAATGGCTAATTCCATAATGGAACTATGAATGTGTTGCATGGACAGCTTGTTATTACTCTAGCAAGGTTAAAATTCTATGCCAGATTCGTTTGGCAAAGAAGGTGCATTGCTGGTCATTTGATTGTGGTTCCGTAGAACATTTCCTTGATGGCTCTTGCCTGATCTCAACAGTCTTCTGTAAAATCTATATCTCAGAGGCCCCAGTGGTATCTTTATCTTTGGTTTTTGAAAGGTTAGAGGTGCTTTGGAAGCTTAGTGTGTCTGTGTACTCATTCTTTTATTGTCCATTGTTTTAGGCTGACTGAATATTGTTGATTTCTCTGAAGAGTTCTCCATTTATCAGTTTAAAATGTCTTGACAAATGGTTTCAGACCCTTGTGGTGTATACTAGCCATTTTTGGATTACAGTTTTTCCCAGAAAATTAGAACAAGATTTATTTAGATAATCAAGGGGCATTGTATTCCTAAAGCCACCACTTCCTTTCAAAGACAAAGTTCATCTCTAACCACAAAGATGGTTACTCTGACACTGGAATTCACAGCTTTAAAATCATTCCTTGCCTTTTCTGGCCTCAGGGGTCTGCATGAAACTATAAATAGGACAGATTCATTGGTAAATATGTATT